GAACACACAGCTGAGCTTTCACATTTGATTCTCCGTGTAAACCCCAAATTTATTTTAATAGCCACAAGAACACCAACAACCCAAATGACAGCAGAGTTATAAGCACATGAATTTATACTTCAGGACAGAGTGGTTCATGATAATTTAGGTGTGCAAGACAAATTTATATTTCCCTCCCTCCCCAAAAAAATCCTCTAAACCCTATTATACTATTTTTTTTGAGCAACTAAGGAGATCTGCATCAAATAATCAAATAATCAAAATAATTAACTCAGTGCTTGAACACATCCTCTGTAAACCTTCTGCTGTCTCACATGGGTTTTCACACCTACCAGTTCCCTGGCCAAACACCTCATGCCAAGATAAAGAACACACCAGAAGAAACAACACCTGGCTGAGGCCAGGGTTTTTCCATGTCAGGTGCTGCCTACACAGTGTAACCCAGCACTGAAACTCATCCCACTGGCTGCAGGAGGGGACAGACCCATGTTCCAAATGCCACTTTAATCCCAGGAAGGTTGGTATCTTTCAGTTGCACTGACTTCTGTTAAAAGAGAAACAAGCAGTTTGGAAGATCCCAGGGCTCATAAAAACCAGAGATTTTTCACTCTAAAGAGAGATGTAAATCATTACTGTGTAATATTGATGGTAACTGTAATTTACTGACAGCTCTACTGCATTTCTCATTGCTCCATCTGAGATTTCACCTTTATAATGTGCTCCCATCCACTGGAGGGCAGTTCCAAGAGCTGTAAACTGTGTCACCCAAACAGTAAGAAACAGCATTTTCCTGTCTGTAAAGAACAGTCAGAAAGGAAGACAAAAGGAAGACTTTGTATGAACTTATACTGACTAAAAAAAAAAACAGTATTAGAGATGGGATATTAGGTAACGAAGAGTACATTTATCAGCCAAAGAATTTACAAAACAGCAGATCTCCACCACTACACTTAAAAGAAATCTACAGAAAAAACAATCTGCAAAATCTTTAGACAACCTCATGTTTTCAAGTTACCTCAACACTGGACTTGTATGTCAGTCTTTCTCATGGGAGTTTATTATTCAAGTGACATTAATAGTTTTAAATAAGCCTCCAGAGTTAAATGGACTATTCACAGGTGAGATGACTGGGACTAAGTTCATAGGAATGAAAACTAGTTCTGAAAAGCAACTGAACTACAGAATAGATTTCAGCTTGGAAGTCATGGTAAAGATCTGCAGCTCACAGAGCAAAAAGACCAGGATAAGAGCCAAGAAAAGAAACAGAGATGCAGAACTCAGACACTGATCTGAGGTGAGATGGCAGAGAAGAGAAAAAATGGGCTGAATTCTACCAGCACATGAGTCCAGTCTTTTGTGACTATGAAAGTAAAATTATATAAAATTTAGCAATAATCTGTTCATTTCAAAACTATTTTAGGTATTTAAAAAATATTTCATAATGTTCTTATTCAGGACTGTTTTTAAAACTCAGTGAGGTGCAAATCAGTATTTTCCTTGCACAGTCTGAAAGCCAAACCTGTGAGCACCATGAAAAGACCTCAGTCCAGCCTTACAGTCCAGTCAAAAACAAACACATTAGCACTCTACAATAAAGATTGTAAAGTAATTTTTGTTGACAGCCTGCATTTAATTTTTTCCAGTTTCCTAATGAAGTAACAAGACTAGGTATGTTGCCAGCTTAACTGCTAATGTGTTTACTTTACTTCTAAAGAAGGGGAGTGGAGTTATTGCATTGCAGGTGAAAAACAAAGCCTTCAGCTTTGCTTAACCTGAACTAGAACCCCATATATTACAGCAGCTTTTTCAGGTAACAATGAACAATCCATCAAAGACCATAACCTAAAGCTTTCCTGTGCTACACTTGACTATAATGGAAACAGTGAATGCCAGATGGCCTTTTCATTGTCTCCTGATCTGGAGAACCTGCTAACAAGCACACCCTTCAGAAGTGAATTTTTGAAGTTAGCTATCCATCTCAGTACACACACAGCAGACAGCACCCACCGTAAAGTTTAAAATTATTACCTCTGTAAAAATAATCTGCTCAGCATTCCATCTGCTTTGCACCAGTTTCCCTATTCCATGCACTTTTATTGCTCCACCTATCGCAATACCTTATATCCAACCTGGTTCTTTCTTAGGAGGTTTTGTAGGGCAGTGACTCGTGCACTTTGTCTTCCACCTTTGAATTTAAAACTGTGGGTTTGATCCCAACCAACCACACGTACGTTAATGCACATTGTTGCCTTTGCTCTGGAAACTGAATAATCAAAATGCCATGACAGTATAGAGGGTGTGTAGACAGTCACATGTATTTGGTTATCAATACAATGTGTGGGCTTTTTTCCAGAAAAAAAACCAAACCCCCTTACTTATTAAAGAACAGAGCAGACCTTCTAGAATGTCTCACTGGTTCCCGACCCATCTACATAGTTTCAGTTTAAAAAAGTTTCTTTGTACTACTATTTCCAAAGTTTATCTGTGCTACTTTTTACAACTGCCTCGTGAGAAATTAACTGCATTTCCATATTGCGAGGATTGTGATACACACGTCCAGGTTACGTGCCAGGCGGGGCACGGCTGCAGGTACACGGCTGCTGGGCTGGGACAGGCGGTAGGGCTGCAGCCCCTCGCCTGCGCACACAGCGGCACACGGCGTCAGCGACAGCGGAGCGGGAGGTGTGTGCTGGCTCTGCGGACACCGCCGGGCTGCGGGCACCCCCGCCAAACCTCCGCTAACCCCGGCGGGAGCCCCCCCAGCTCCCCTCCCGCGGCCCTCCCCGTGCCCCGGCTGCCCCGGCCGTTCTCCGGCCCGGCGGGCCCGGGCTTACCGCGAGCCTCGGCGGGAGCAGCAGCAGCGCGGCCAGGCTGAGGAGGAGGCGGCGGAGCGGCTCCATAGCTGCACCGCGGGGCCGCTCCCCCCGCGCGGCGCTGCCTCCGGAGCGGCGCGTCCGGCGCTCCCCGCGGCGGGCGGGGCGGGCCAGGGACCGCCCGGCCGGGACACAACGTCACCCGCGGGCGGCCGGGCCCCGCGCTCAGGGACCGCCCGGCCGGGACACAACGTCACCCGCGGGCGGCCGGGCCCGCCGGGGCCCGCGCTCGGGAACTGCCCGGCCGGGACACAACGTCACCCGCGGCCGGCCGGGGCCCGCGCTCACGGACCGCCCGGCCGGGACACAACGTCACCCGCGGGCGGCCGGGCCCCGCGCTCAGGGACCGCCCGGCCGGGACACAACGTCACCCGCGGGCGGCTGGGCCCGCCGGGCCCCGCGCTCACGGACCGCCCGGCCGGGACACAACGTCACCCGCGGGCGGCCGGGCCCGCCGGGCCCCGCGCTCACGGACCGCCCGGCAGTTCCGCGGCTTCGCGCCGCTGCCGGAGCCTCCCCGTTGGTGTGAGCCGCGACCGACCCGCCGCCCGCTCCGGGGCTCGGCTGGCAGCCCCATGGGGAACCGCGGGGTGCGGTGGCAGCTGGCTACTGCTGCTTTGTTTTTATTTAAAAACCCCTACCTAAATCCAGACAGTCGCCTTCCTCCCCCGCCACCACCCTGCCCGGAATAACTGCGTGGTCGGGCGTTGGAAGGGGCTGCCCGAGGGAGGTGGTGGAGTCACCGTACCTGGAGGTGCTTGAGGCACCCGGCTCTGCCACTGAGTGGTATTCAATGGTTTGGGGGCTACAGTGGCAGTGCTGGTTGGACTGGATGATCTTAAAGGTCTCTTCCAACTTTGATGACTCTGTGATTCTTGTTTTCCTAGTGATTTTTTATTTTCAGAACAGATCATGCCAAATGTATTCGGCACAGCTTCTGCCTTTGACACTCTGTTAACGCTGTGCCTTGCAAGGCCTTAAATAAATGCAAAAACAGCCCCAACATGCCCCTTTGAATAAAAAAAAACCAACAACCCAACCAAAAAAAACCCCAAACAAACCAGGTCCAGGCTTCTCTGAACAGATAAAAATAAACACAAAAAGTATTGAACCAAATGGAAGAAGCTTTAAACAGAAGAGAATAAATTTAGAGTGCCTGGCAAAGGTCCAGTGTTCAGCCACCTGTTTATATAACAAAGCCACTTTGTCCTTGTACATATTGTTTGCTTTTTAACAGTGATACCGCTAATGGAGCTGCAGGGCACAGGGAGTTCTGGACATGCCATATGCACACACGAGCTCCCACAGTGAGCATGCCTTTGATGGTGGGCAGGAGATGTAATAATCACCCAGAATCACAGAATATCCTTCCCTGGAAAGGACTGAGGATCAGCAAGTTCAACTCCTGCACAGTCCACCCCAACAATCCCAGCCAGTGCCTCAGAGCTTGTCCAAATGACGACCTGACCTGTATGTCTGAATACATAAAAATATGCTGGAGCTACAAACCACACTGTGATTCCAGTTCTCTGATGTGTTTGTTTATGGTGGCCTTGGCTTTTAAGAATTTGTGGCACTGTGTGTGCCATGGCAGCAGCACCCTGCATCCTGCTACATTAGATAAGGAGGAATTTATCAGTTGCTATATAAATGCTGTAGTTTGCCAGATCCAGGCTGGAGTTATTTTACACGAGTGTCTCCCAAGGCCTCACGGGAGATTAAAAAAAATAAACTAAAACCGTCTGAGGTAGGAGGGGAGCCGAGTGTTGGCGAGCACCTTCAGCTCCCAGCTGCTCCCCTCAGGAACCACCTCAGCACCCGCTCTGCAGGGGCAGATCTGACCGGGGCCTCAGCTTTTATACTTTTAATACTGAGCCCTACATCTTAACAGCAACAAAACGCTAGAGCAAACTAGAAAGAGAAGAGTGCTACTTTTCCTGAAAAGGCGAAAAGCTGCCCCACACAGCGGGGGACGACACGAAACCACCGCGCTGCCTCAGACCCTCAGCCTGACCTCCCTGCGCCGCCCCGCCCGCTGCCCTCACGCGGGCCCGCCTATCCCCGTGCGCAACCGCAACCAGACAGGCACGTGTCCCCGGATTCCAATTCTATTGGGCGAGACGAGGAGGGCGGGGCTAGCCTGTCTATAAAAAGGAGCGCGGCGAATGCTGGGTCTTTCTTTCGGCGTGGGCAGCGAGGTGAGCGCGGTGGTGGGAGCGGCGCGGGCGGGCGGTGGGGCCGGGCCGGGCCGCGGTGATGTCTCTAGACACGTGTTAGACTGCTGACATACGTGAAGCAAAACTACTGCTGAGCGCCCCGGCTGCGTCCACCCAGCGGGGCGGCCGGGCTGTTCCGCATCAATAACCTCCGCGTTACTCTCGGTATTTTGCAGGGCCCGTGCGGCGACCGGCGGCGGGGAGCGGCGGTAAATAAAGCTTGTGTCACCCAGAACGTGTCCGGTGGTTCTTGGCGCGTGCCGCACTGCCTTTGACCCGGCGGGGCCCGCCTGGCGCCGCCGGCCAAGCAGCGGTGCTACAGCGAGGCGCTTGCTCATAACTGGCGCTGCTCGGCCCGCCCCGGGCGGCGCTTTTAAAAGCAAGTGACATTTGTTTGCGAGGGCGGGGTTCTGCCGATCGGATCCTGCTGCCTGCCCTTCTGCCAGGGGAGCCCGTTCCCGGCCGGAGGGCAGAGCCGCGTCACTCGCCGCGGTTCAGTGTGACTGGTTTTCCTTCAGTAGTGCAGGGTTAAGAGGAGCAGAAGTCCAGGGATTCCTGCCTGGCTGTTGCAGGAATAGAGAGCTGGGTGACCCAGCTTGGAGATGGGAGAAATGCATCCAGGGCTGGGGATCGTTTTGCTCGTGGTGCAAAATAAGTTGAAAGACCTTAAGAGGTCCTTAAGGGCCTCTCCTTTTTATACATGTTAATACCAGAGGTAGAGCATTTTGTGTCAGTACAAAGATCTGTAACCACGCAGGATTAGACAGGAATAGGGCAGAATGGAAGGGATCATTGAGCACCCAGAGGCTCTTAAAGGTAGCAGAAGTGGATGTGTGTCAGCTCTGTTCTGTAACTGCTGGTAATCCTTTCACAGTTTTACCAGGTATGTAAACATATTCTTAAAGCATATTCCTTGTGAATACCCACTGCTGTGGTGAACTTAGGTTGCATGACATTGAATTCAGCTTTTCCTTGCAGAGCTCAGCACTGGTTAACCCTAAAATGTCATGCCACAGCCACCAAGTACAGAGTCTGCAAAGCACAGGACACACATTGGGAAGCTGCCTTTCTAATGAAGTTTTTAAAACTTAAGCTAACAGTGGCTAAATGCTGTAGAAATGAAATTTACTAAATTATTTGACATGGGATAAATTTATTTAATAAAACAAAGCAAGCAGATTGTAGTTACCCACAGTTTATGAAGTGCAGTATGACAATCTTGTGTAGTAAGTCTAAATCTTTACACATTAGTGCATCTAGTCCTTTGACTTTAGTTATTGCACATAGAAATTAACTCATATAAAAGACCTGCGTACAAGACATGCAGACTTCATGAAAGGCAGATAATGCCTACAAAATCAGCAAACCCCAGAATATACACAGCCTGGAATGGTCAAGGAGGAGTTCAGGTAACAAATATAACTACTAATATTTCAATTAAAGGTAACCAAAATAGGTGTTCAAATATAGAATTAATTTTAAATATATTAAATGCTTTTGTTTCAGGCAAGGTGCTGTTTAAAAAACCTTCAATATAATAGCTTCATTTAGAGATGGTAAATCATCAAGTTATACATGGAAATTTGATTTACATCAAATGTGACAACACAACATACAAAAAATTTCTTAAAAAGTTGAATTGGAAAAAAAAAAAAGGAAATCATGTTACAAAAGGAGAGCCAAAACTCACCTTCTCTGTAAACTAAAACATTTTCTGACATGAACAGTTGGCAACACTGAGTATCAGAAAAATATTAAGGAGTGGATATGTAGTGTTCAAACCTTGAATTTACTGCATACATTTAGCCTTGATTCATTACACCTGACAAATAAAAGGCAATTCCCCCTTCCCCTTTAGTTTTGGCCACTAATTAGCAGAAAATCTTCAATCGTGATCAGCTCAAACAACTGCAATGCTTGAATTCCTATGCCATAAAGTCCAAGAAACCAATGCATGGGGTCAAAATCTGTCAGCCACAGCTGCTTCCACAAGCACCAGATGCTGTCACGTCTGGGGCTGTAACTGAGGATCCAGGCCCATGCCTTGGCTGTAAACACAGTGCAATGGAAAAGACTCAGCAACAAACTCCTGTCAGAACTGAGTGTTTCATCACAGCAAGAGGCTCTGCGCACAGTTAGGTCACTACTGGAGATGTGCAGTGTTGACACTTGGTGTGTGTGCTCATGTCTATAAACATTCAGAATTAATCAGGAACCAAGGTGATTGTACCTCACTATAAGGCGGCTTGCTATGGTTTGGTCTCATGGCTTTACCAATTTTTTTTCCTCATTTACAAAAATCTGACAGTCCCACCTTCACTGATAGTTGTGTGTTTTATGGCTAATTGCTTCCCAAAAAAAGCACAAGTTCTGTATGAAAAAAGTAATGTGTATACAGCACATTGAATCACAATATTACCTATACATCCAATTTACATTCTTTTATCCTGAAAGCATTTCATATTTCGATTGCTTGACACAAGCTATTGACTGCAGAAGTGAAAGAACATAAAATAGTTCATTCTACACCTCCAACTGCCTGAGAAAGAAAAATATTCTTCCAGTTTTATAAATTCATTCCTTATTTAGGATTTTTTCCATTTGGCACGCAATTCCTTTGCTGCCAAACAACTTTTCAATGCTTTAATGCACATTAACATAGCATGAAAACAAGCTGAACAAAAGGTGCATCAACAAGCTCCTTGATCTGTTACATTTGAGTTCCTCCCTCCCCACAAAGAACAGGTCACCTCAGCCTCCCAGTTAAAATTCTGATGGCAGCCAGTACAAAAATAAATCGACAGCTTAATGGAATGGAACTTCATGTAGCTGAAGTACACGGGAACAATAACCAGGCAAGTGAGCACACAGGAAGGGGGAAAGGCAGTCCTTGGGAGGGGGGAAGAGTGGCACAAGTTAAGGACAAGAACTACAGCACAGTTTATAAAACCATGAGAGTAACTTTTGTAATACTGTAAACTGCAAGAGTCTTCACATGTTATGGTTGATCAGAGGCCTCCGTGCTCAGATCTTGAGGAGGGCATGTGGAGGAGCGGGGATCCATGGCTGAGTGCATTAAAGGAATATAGACATCATCCATGTTTGGCATGACAAAGATTTTCTGTGAAAAAGATGCAATGAAATGAAGTTACATTACATAGGTCACTTGAAACCTCAGTTTTCAAATTTTACTTTAAAAAATGCAACATATTTACAGAGAAAAGGTTCTCAAGCTCAGCATTGTTTGAGTCAGTGCAATGCCCATTAACTGAAACCATTTTGTTGTGTTACAGTTGTAAATGAAACTCAAATATTAATGTTTTTGCATCTTTCATTCAATTAAAATGGCACTACAGGAAACATCACCAACTTTTCCTATGGCTTTCTCAGTTCTTAACCATCCATATACTTTCAAAATGCACTTTTAGTAAAATAACTTATTTTGATTTCTGCTTGATTGTATAGGTTGCGGTCCAGAATCGAGCTGGTCACTATTCCTACCCTACATGTATTTGGAGGGGGCTTCTTTCTTTTTGCACAATGGTCACAATGTGATTTTTTAAAAATTACTTTAAAGGAAGCAGTAAGATGAAGTAGTGCCTTATCTGTTCTAAATTTTAGGCAACAGTTTGGCCCTCTATCACCTAAGAACATGTAGGATCATGTTCTTATTTGAGTACTGCAAATTTTACCATGGTACCTATTTCAAAGAAATGTCATTTTAATCTCTAAAACAGATTTCCACCCAGGTCTACACAGTCATGAGACCGCCCCAGCAGTCGGTTTCAGCTGAGCTCAACATCCCTCCCACTGGCCGGAAGCAGTGAAGGATATGACTAGTTATAAATGAAATATGTGAAAGTTGAACACCCCACCCCTTTAATTGACCAAAGCTACCATAAATGAAAGGAGAATGTGAAGGACACACACCTGGAACTCTTGTTCCAGTTTCCTTGCTATCCAGTCTGTTATATGAACCAGAGTCACTTCTCTCTCACCAAGTTTTGGCCGCGCTTTTAACTCCAGGTAGGGAGGCCTTCGGAAGCCGTACCTTGGGAGAGAACACAAAGCAGGATTTACTACAGATACCCCAAGAAAATAAGTACTTAAACCTGTAACAATTTGCTCTTAATAACAGTTCCTACCTTAGTTTCAACTCATTTGTACTGCTCCTTGCCCACAACCCACTTGAGCCAGGCTTTACCTTTTTTCTTAGCTGCAACCCCTCGAGTAGCACACCTGAAACATTGCCCAGCTCTGCTCTGAGCTCCTCTTACCATATTCTGTCAGTGGGTGGAGGTGGAATGTTAATCACTAGTGTTCCTCTGCACTCCTGTACTTCAACTGTTAGCAGCAATGGAGTATTGGAGACCTCTTCAATTTTTTTCTTAATAAACTCAGTCTCTGTTGCTTTCTGAAAGTATTTTGACTTTGTAATTTTATCCACAATTCTCATGATTTTACTTGTCCGATGTCCTCCAACATACCTTTAGATAGAGAATAGGAAAAGGACATGAAGATTATTTTCTTAAACCTACTTGCTAAGACAGATATGGATTTTCTATTAAATCATTAAAGTTTTTGATATAAAAATTCAGGCCAAGCAGTACATCCTAGGGCCTGCACCCAGCAGCTGTATTCTGTCAGCTACAAGTGCCTGGCAGAAATTCTGTTCAGTCTGAACACTCTTTCCCAGATAGCATTGGAAACACAACAATTTTTAAAACTGCAAATACACTTAGATCACTTATGCCAGCAAGCTGGCATGAGAAGTGGCAACTTGTCTACTACATTCAAAAAAAATTGTATAGACACCAATACACCAAGATCTGCACAAATCATCAGCATAGAAGGCCCAACCATTGTATCTAATTATTTAACTGTGTGTGCTGTTAATGTTCTAAGGTACTGTAGCATTTACAAGTATAAGCATGCTGAAAAAAAAGAAAAACAGTTTTGGCAGTGGGTGGAACAATATTCCAAAAATGGGTAACTATGTCTGCAGAAAGTGGGCTTTTCCTGGCAATTGTGTCAGACAGCATTCCTGGCTTTTGAAACAGATGCTTTAAGGGCTGAAAATGTTTTTTCTTACCCCTATCTCAGGTTGGAAATACACACTCCAAAAATAGGACATTTCGTATTTTCCACACACTATATCATGTCTAATTGTGGTTCTTGGTGTTACGTAGCAGAGATAACCTTCCTAAGGAAATGACATTTTCCTATCCAGGGAAAAATAAAATTATTCTTACACAAACTTATACAGTTTTGTCCTTAGCACAACATAAGACAAAAAACTGTTCAGCTGATATAAAAAGGGAAAATGAACTTTGACTTTGGGATTTTATACTAGCTGTATCTTTACCCTGAGAAAGAAGTTATTCTCCTATCA